AATCCTTGACTATTACTATCATTTAACATTAACATTGCAATACAATATCCTCAATATTAACCACCAATGATTAAAAGCTACCAATTGCATACACAATAAAAATTTCAAATATGCTATAATATTATTTATCATAGAACATATGACAGAATTATAAAAGCCACTTAACCATCATAAAAGTCTAATTTCAAATAACCTTACATATGAAATTTATATTAATCATTCTCTAAAGAATAATGTTTCACAAGTTAAACACAAAACTACTTTTTCCCTTTATATATATATATATATATATATAAATGATTATAATAACTTTATGTTGCCAAGAGATAAGTATTAATTTTCTACAAATTAGAGGAAGGCTCAGAATTACATATAACATAAACTCATGAACCAAATAATTTAAAAGGAATTACTTAACAAACCAATTTTAAGCTACATATCTAGTAATAAATAATTTAATAAGGCCAAGTTTGGTTACCCAAAAATAATCCATCTTTTTATCTTTTTTTCTATCACATCACCTCTTTAATTTTCTACACATTTTTTTGTAAAAAGATAAAAAGTACACTTATTTACGTCATCCCAAACAATCCCTAAAAATAGAGATATATAGTTGTGAGATTCTACAGACAAAGATACCAACTAATTTCGCATATGAAGAGTAACGGAAGACTTTAAATTCAACATGTACCAAACATTTGTTTTCCTTGACATTTGAAATAGATATATACATATATATATATATATATATATATTTAAAAAAAACCCAACGGCTTTAGATTGTTAGAAAAAAAAAAAAAAAAAAAACTATACACTAATATAATTTAATTAATAAAAATGATTAAGAGATTTACGATAAATAAAATATGAAAGCAAATAAAGTCAAATAGAATAAGAAAGAATTAGCCTGTGAGATTGAGAGGCATGTAGTCACTACCCTAAAGCTATTGTTCCTCCCCATGTAAAGGTACAACTAGAGTGCAACGGCTCCAAGATACAACCCAAGTACTCACAGGAGAATGTGAATGAGTTACAAACTATAGTGGCCTAGAAATACACAAAATAGATAAAGTACTCTTATCTTAAAACTCCATATCACATATACATATGTCTTCTTGCGATTTTTATCCATCATACATCCTTAGAAAACAGAGGAATATATCTAAATGAAAATCTCATAACATTTAATCATTTCATAATTATAATAATAAATTTTAATAATATCTTTGTAACTGAAATATTTAAAATCAATATTAACGGTCAAACAAATTAAATAGCAATAATTAATTTTATTTTTATTAAAATTCCAACAAATTAAACCCGAAATCATAAGCAAACATGCAAGTTCTTCGTAGCAACAAACGACAAAATATCAAAAAAATCCATGTCCGTAGTCGAGGGTATATCCATGTGGAGTCATGGACAGACCTAGCCCAGAAACATTAACATCATGAGAAGCACCTCCAACATGCCCTCCCATGGAACTTGACCCAGCTTCAAAAAACCTCCAGGGGTTCGATTCCTCCATCCGAATCTTCTCGCTTTGCTTCGCGACATTCTTCTTTAGATCCTCCATTGCAACCTTCAATTGCTCGAGTTGCTGAAGTCCAAGCTCGCTAACCGGTGCTTCCCACCAACACCTGTCTCGGCTAGCTTTCCTCATCTTGTTAAGCTCTTCGCCTCTTTTCTTCTCTGCTTCCAACATATCAAGTGCTTCAGTGAGTTGCAAGTTGAGCTTGCTAACATTCGCATTGCAGTGAGCCTTGACAAGTTGGAGCGAGCCTGAATTGGGTAGAGAGTTTCGAGAGAGAAAACAATCTACAACAGTGTCAACACAAGGGTGGCCAAAAGAGAAGGCCCTTTTGCCAGGAGAGAAAACGACGATGGCAATTTCAGCGCCACATAGGGTGCAGAGTTCGCTTGCCTTCTTGAATAGCCCAGAACGACGCTTTGAGAAGGTAACGCTTCGGTGGCTTTCATTTGACATTCTTGTCATCGCGATCTTCTGACGGCCTTTGCCCTTCCTTTCCATGGCTGCAAATGATGAGAAAAAAAGAAAAGAAAAATTATTAGAGAAATAGGAAATTGAAATGGTGATTATCTAATGAGAGAAACATGAGAGTATGAGTATATATAGGGTGACTCCATATATATAACTTTTATTTACCTCACAGTATTGCATATTTCCTTCCGTTTACGTTTTAATACTATATTTTACATGCCATTTAAATTTAATTACATGTTTTGGGGCAAGTTACTCCTCAAAATTTCCATAATCCTTACCTAACGGCAAGGCTAAGAAATTAAATCAGAAGGATGCACTTATTAATTACAATATTAAATTTTTTTATAAAAATATTTCACATAAATTTTACCGTTAACTTCAAGAAAGTAAAAAATAATAATAATTACCGTGTGTTTGGTTTTATTTTCTGAATTCAGTTTTCTGAAAACTAAATTTTTATTTTTCATATTTTTTTTTTGTTTTAGTGAATTTTTAAATTTAACAATTTTATACTTTTTTAGATGCGCATTACTTAGATATATATCCAAATAATAAAATATTTGTGAAAATATTTTAAAATTAAAATACACAAAAATACAAAAAATGTACTGAATTTCATATTTTTTAATATTTTTTGATATTTAGGCCTCGTGGTGAACGGCTAATTGTAGTAAACTTTTTGACTATTTGGCTAGAAAGGTAGGTAAAAAAAACTTGTATGTTTGGGATGACTTTTTGGCTTTTTACGAAAAGATGTGCAAAAAGTAGAGAGAAAAGAGAATCTTTGACTTTTTGGTATGAGTTGTTGGCTTTTTGGCTAATTTAGTAACTTTTTGGCTAATTGGCTAAAAAAATAAGTCCCCAAACAGGGCCTTAGTGTATTTTTAAAGATTTTTTTCATAAATATTATACTTTTTAGGTATATTTATGTTAGGTGTGTCTAAAAATTAAAAAAATTTCCTTAAAATATTAAAAAATTTTATTGAAAACATTAAAATACAGAAAATAAAAATGTAAAATTTTTTGAAAACTGCTTTTTGAAAACTAGAACCAAATAAGCTAAATATCATTTGTAATTATTTGTAATTCAAGTCTCCCATTATATATTAAATGACATTTATGGTGAATTCTAAATTAAACCATGAAATAAATATTATGGCATTTACCCATTGTAATCTAATTTATATTTTATAAATAGCTATCCTATGGCAAAATACCATCCCATCTTATATTTATAATAATTGATTACGTAATAAAGTAGAGCTAAATAAGTCATAAATGTATGTATGACTATAATATGACCAAAATGATTAACCAAAATAAAATAAGATTAATCATATTTACAAACATCATTGCTCGCACATAATTTTTTTTATTTTTTATTTTTAAATAAAAGAAACCACATAAATTTCCAATCACACACTACATTAAACAATATAATTTACGGGATATAGTAAATCCTCAAAATATTTGTAACCACAACATTAACAAGGGCAAAGGCCTTTAATTCACTAATTGTAAAATTCATGACACACTTTAAACTTTTAGCAGTTACAAAATAATTCAAATCTTAATTTTGTCAATTATGAACCAAATACAATTCACAAACAGATCAAGTAATCTAATGTTATCAAATTTTTATTATTTATCTATTCATGTCAAACATGTTATCACACACACAGTTGCACACATTCTATCATGTCTCAAAAATCAAATTACACTTTTAAGTTTTTAACGGTTACAAAATTTATAACACAATTATTCTCATAAATCTTTATTTCCGTTTAATTACATTAAGATCCAAATACTAATATTCGACAGTCACATGCCATCACTTACATATAATAACGGTAAATCAAAGATTGAGCAATAAATTAAATATGCAACTATTTCACGTACTATAATAGCAAATTCGAAATGTAATTTGATATCAATTATATTCCATTTCAAGTTATTTTAATTTATAATCCTTGACTATTACAATTATTTAACATTAACTGTAACGCCCTCAAAATAATAACAATAAACCCATCAGATAAGACATGCATTTACATTTAAACTAACTGCATTCCTTTCATTCATTAGAATTCCAAGACATAAGTATTACATGTTAACCTCATAACAATTAAAATCTACCAATTGCATATACAATAAAAATTTCAAATATTTTTTAACATTATTTATCATAGAACATATGACAGAATTATAAAAGCCACTTAACCATCATAAAAGTCTAATTTCAAATAACCTTACATATGAAATTTATATTAATCATTCTCTAAAATGCTTCACAAGTTAAACACAAAACTACTTTACCCATATATATATATATATATATATATATATTATTATAATAACTTCTGTAACAGTCAAACAAATTAAATAGCAATAATTAATTTTATTTTTATTAAAATTCCAACAAATTAAACCCAAAATCATAAGCAAACATGCAAGTTCCTCGTAGCAACAATCGACAAAATATCAAAAAAATCAATGTCCGCAGTCGAGGGTATATCCATGTGGAGTCATGGACAGTAGCCCTGAAACCTTAACACCATCAGACGCACCTGTAACAGTCAAACAAATTAAATAGCAATAATTAATTTTATTTTTATTAAAATTCCAACAAATTAAACCCAAAATCATAAGCAAACATGCAAGTTCCTCGTAGCAACAATCGACAAAATATCAAAAAAATCAATGTCCGCAGTCGAGGGTATATCCATGTGGAGTCATGGACAGTAGCCCTGAAACCTTAACACCATCAGACGCACCTGTAACAGTCAAACAAATTAAATAGCAATAATTAATTTTATTTTTATTAAAATTCCAACAAATTAAACCCAAAATCATAAGCAAACATGCAAGTTCCTCGTAGCAACAATCGACAAAATATCAAAAAAATCAATGTCCGCAGTCGAGGGTATATCCATGTGGAGTCATGGACAGTAGCCCTGAAACCTTAACACCATCAGACGCACCTGTAACAGTCAAACAAATTAAATAGCAATAATTAATTTTATTTTTATTAAAATTCCAACAAATTAAACCCAAAATCATAAGCAAACATGCAAGTTCTTCGTAGCAACAAACGACAAAATATCAAAAAAATCCATGTCCGTAGTCGAGGGTATATCCATGTGGAGTCATGGACAGTAGCCCTGAAACCTTAACACCATCAGACGCACCTGTAACAGTCAAACAAATTAAATAGCAATAATTAATTTTATTTTTATTAAAATTCCAACAAATTAAACCCAAAATCATAAGCAAGCATGCAAGTTCTTCGTAGCAACAAACGACAAAACATCAAAAAAATCCATGTCCATAGCCGAGGGTATATCCATGTGAAGTCATGGACAGAACTAGCCCAGAAACCTTAACATCATGAGAAGCACCTCCAACATGCCCTCCCATGGAACTTGACCCAGCTTCAATAAACCTCCAGGGGTTCGATTCCTCCATCTGAATCTTCTTGCTTTGCTTTGCAACATTCTTCTTTAGATCCTCCATTGCAACCTTCAATTGCTCGAGTTGTTGAAGTCCAAGCTCGCTAACCGGTGCTTCCCACCAACACCCATCTCGGCTAGCTTTCCTCATCTTGTTAAGCTCTTCGCCTCTTTTCTTCTCTGCTTCCAACATATCAAGTGCTTCAGTAAGTTGCAAGTTGAGCTTGCTAACATTCACATTGCAGTGAGCCTTGACAAGTTGGAGCGAGCCTGAATTGGGTGGAGAGTTTCGAGAGAGAAAACAATCTACAACAGTGTCAACACAAGGGTGGCCAAAAGATAAGGCCTTTTTGCCAGGAGAGAAAACGATGATGGCAATTTCAGCGCCACATAGGGTGCAGAGTTCGCTTGCCTTCTTGAATAGCCCAGAACGACGCTTTGAGAAGGTAATGATTAGGTTGCTTTCGTTTGACATTCTTGTCATCGCGATCTTCTGACGACCTTTGCTCTTCCTTTCCATGGCTGCAAATGATGAGAAAAAAAAAAGAAAATTATTAGAGAAATAGGGAATTGAAATGGTGATTATGTAATGAGAGAAACATGAGAGTATGAGCATATATAGGGTGACTCCATATATATAAATTTAATTTACTCTCAAAGTTATTGCATATTTCCTTCCTTTTAGATTTTAATACTATATTTTACATGTCATTTAATTTAATTACATGTTTTGGGGCAAGTTACCCTGTCCCAAAATTTCCATATCCTTTAACTGTCGTACGCTAACAACTACCCATGTGATATAAATCTCAAAACAAAAATGAGTGTTGAAACTTAAAAGCATAGCGAAAGCATGCAATTTTGTTATCTCTCAAAATTAGATTGTATTTGGGGCCTCATTGATTGTCAAATTATTATTTTTTTTCTTTCTTTGTACAAATGCAATCTATCATAATACTTAAAATGTTTATCACTAATCCAAGTATATAATCCTTACTACGGCAATATAATTTTTTTTTGCAAATTAATATCGTTGTGATACATCTGTTATACCCAATATACTCGTATTTATGGCCATAAATTGCCAAATAGAATGTGATACAAAAAATGGTGAAGTAACAGGAGGAAACAAATCGAACAATGTCAAGTCCATAAACATTTCCTCTTCATTTTACTTAAGCTTCCTTTATTGGAAAAAAGAAAATTAAGAGAAGAAAACCCCGCACACACACATAAAAAGTGCATAAATTTATTATGGTTACATTACTACATATTACCATGTTAGTTATTTTGTTTTACCGCATTTTAATCGTGTTTTTGTAGTTGAACCCTCTGTAATTTTGAGTCGTGCAATCACAAATAACTCGGTTGTATATGGAAGTGACAGAAAGATAAAATACGAGAGAATAAATTCACGTGGGCAATAGTGGAGGGGACTCTAGAGTATATTAGGCATCGTTTGGCAACTTGAAGTTTAGTCAAAAAGTCAACGTCGTCATAAGTTGTCATATCACTCTTTCTATTTTTCTGTACATCTTTTTATAAGAAGTCAAAAAATTACTAAATTAACGTGTTCCCAAACCAGGCCTAACTAAGTTTGAGTGGCTTAGAAAAACAATGTAAGATAAATCTAACAAGCCAATTAAGGCTCCTTATTTAAGAAGGCCTCTAAATTTGTAAGACTCTTAATTATGTATACATTAGACCCATCATATTTTTAAAAAATTATGGAACCCATCATGTCATATTAATATCCACATATAAATTTTTAAAAAAATTATTAGTGAAATATTTAGATGATAAAGCAGCACTTAAAAAAGAAATCAAAGAAAATAAATAAAAAGCCTTCTTGGGGGCATAAATTTTGCAAGGAACACTTCCATTTATCCCATTAGTGTTATTAGGAGTTTTAAATCCTTTAATATGTAATTGTAAACCAACCTCATAAAATTACAAGACAAATGGTAATCTATTGGGCCGAGTTGAGCTAGTTTTTTAAGGCTGGCTTAATATTTTGGGCTGAATTTGGAATTTTTGTTTCTCGGCCAGCCTGGCACACTAATAAAATTTCGATATTTATTGGTGGTCAGATCTGTTCGTTAATGGTGTGTGGTTGGAGAAAGAGAGAGAAGGGGAGAGAGTTTGATTTGGAACCGTTGGAAAGAATGAAGAGAGATTGATTTGGGCAGAGGAGAGAGAGGAGAGTTTTGAGAGAGAAAGAGAGAAGCCTAGGTGACCTTCACTGCCACGTCATTTGGGATCAGGTGATATATTGTGTAGATGAAATATTTTTCTATAAAGCTAAATAGTTCAATAGCTGAAATTTCAAAATTTTATTTTAAAATTGTTTAGCTTTGTAAGTTCTGTAATTGTGAGTGGTTTTGATCCCTATATCATGGAAAATTGATGTGGTTGAGTAATTATTTGATATTTTTATATGGAATTGTGAAATTATAAAATAAAAAAAAATAAAAAAATAGTTTCAAGAAATTATATAATTGTGATTCCTTTTTTCTATGGATTAAAATGTTTATTTCTAATAAAATTAAAGAGAACTTTAGGCAAATTATTATATTTTGCAAACTCGTACATTGCATTGCATTTCATTGTTTTGAACTCTTATTGGTCCATTATTTTGGATGTTGGAATATTGGAAAGGGGGTAAATGGCATAATAATCCGGATAGTGAATCGGTTTTTGAAAAATGTGGAGTACTATATTGGTATTCGTGTGGGCAATCAATGTGTCCAATTGCCTTATCGTGTGCTTGATGCTGGATTAATGTACGAAACGATGTTTTCAAGGTGCTCAATTGCCCTTCAGTACTTGATGCCAAAAAATGTGAAAAAATGTTTGTCTGCCCAATTGTCCTCCCATGCTTGATGACAGTAAATGTGGGGCTATTGTTATATATATATATATATATATATTGAGAAAATGATTTTTTATATAAAAAATATTATATTATCAAATAGACTAAACCTATTAAGTTCAAGCCTTCCCAACAAACAACTATCTCACAATAATTTGAAAGTTAACAAAGCTTACTAAGTTCAAGTCTGCCCCACAAACTACTGCAAATTTCTATAATGAGAGAGAAATAAACGGATTTACAAATGGTATCAAATATTTTAAAATGTATTGAAATATATATAAATTGTACTGAAATGTATAAAATATAAAGAAATATGTATAAAACTATTATGAGTGGTGTAAAATATGCATTGAAATTTTAAATATTTTAATTTTTATTAACAACATTTAGAGTTGTCATTAACAAGACTCATAGTTAGCACAAATCTAATGAACAAACATCGAATTTGAGGGTCAAGATGTGATAAATTGCCGACTATTAAACATGTACATAGTTATTATAATTATCAGTTATGTGCTCAATATAAAATCCTTTATTTGTTTTAAATCATGATAAATTATTGATCATCATTTAATGTAAAATTTTAAAATATTAAAAAAATATTTTATTATTTATATTCTAAATATTATGTGTGAAATTATCAAAGATTTGCTAGTTGATTCCCTTGTTGGGGATAGTTGTCATTTAATTTTGTGGTGAGACTTTATTTTGATCTTTATTTATATCTTGAGGATAAGATGCATATAATATAAGAAGGTTCTACATGATATAATTATTTAAATTATAATTGTCGTAAGGTTGAAATCATGATTACACAACCTAGCTACAATCTTCGGTTAAGAGATCAATAGTTCTTAATACCAATAATTAATCTATTTTAAGAGACCTCACAATCAATGGTAGGTGTAGAGCATTGCTCCATAATGAATAATAATTTTTTTAATTAACGCTAAATTTGATCATGAAATTAATTTATCATTTAACCGATTCTATTTTGTTACAAAAATCTTAACTCATTTAAAAAGTTTAAAAATTAAAAATTCTATAGAAGAAATTAACTTTTCGATGACTTTGATTATCTCGCTGGGTTGTGTCATGTGTCAGCATCATGAACAAGGTTTCATTTTAGTGTGTCTCCACTTGTTAAGAAATGTACTTAATAATTTCATGCGTTAATTGCATTTTTGGTCTTTAAATCTTGAGTTTTGTGTCATTTTAATTCTTAATGTTTAAATTATTTCAAAATGTATACTTTAAAAATATATGAAAATGGCAACATTCATCTTACCAAATCATGGCAAGCTTCATCTTGGAACAACATTGGACTACTTTTGTAATGGCAGTGGTTACACAGTCTTGACAGACCGCGGTGGAAACATCACCACGGCAGAGGAACAGGCCGTGGACTATGGAGTTGGAGAAGCCATTGATGGTGGTGGTGGAATTGGAGGAAAGAGTTGAGAAGATGGTGTTGAGATTGGATTGGTATGTGCTGCTAGGAATATAAGTGGTTGTATTTGGGCAATAAGAATATAGGAAAGTTGGGGTTGCTTCTGGGTATAAGTAAGCAAATTAGAATGCAAAGAAACAAAAGGGATGTGGAGATATTGAAGGATGAGTTCATGGTGATTAAACTTTGAATTTTAGAGTCCCCTTGGGCATACTTTTGGGGGAATTAATGGATAAAAATCAGATAAAGATATCTTGAGGAAATTAGGTAAGGGAGAATGGAAAATGAGTAGCGATACATAATTTTAAAATAGTAATTCTAATGGGAGCTCTAATGCGGTGGAAGAGAGGGAAAGTAGAGAGAGATAGAGAGAGGAGTGTGGGCCCCC